CCAGCTAAAGGGGAATTCCTGACGCAACCTCCAGGGCGAGACTAGAAAACACCCTGGGAAGAGTTCAGATGTTTGACACCGATCCTCCGGTTGTTGTCGTTACTGTGTGTTTTTGAAGTCTCTTCATGGAGACAGGAAGTAGAGACTGTGCAGTGTGGACGACGGCTCTGCTGGAGTCACAGACGGTGAACGGTCACAGACGGCGAACGGTCACAGACGGCGAACGAATAAGGTTCAACTTCAAAAGTCAGAAACAGAGCGAAAACAAAAGGTTAAAATAGTCGTATTAACAACAGTGAAGATGAAGAAGACACAGACAGGCCCTGACATCACAGACAAACACTGACATCACAGACAAACACTGACATCACAGACAGACCCTGACATCACAGACAAACACTGACATCACAGACAAACACTGACATCACAGACAAACACTGACATCACAGACAAACACTGACATCACAGACAAACACTGACATCACAGACAGACCCTGACATCACAGACAAACACTGACATCACAGACAAACACTGACATCACAGACAAACACTGACATCACAGACAAACACTGACATCACAGACAAACACTGACATCACAGACAAACACTGACATCACAGACAAACCTTGACATCACAGACAGACCCTGACATTACAGACACAGACAGTAGGTCACCTACAGACACCAGTAGTTAGCCTGTAGTTAGCAACAGTAGCTAGTAAAGCAGAGCAGGTCAGGTGTAGTTAGTGACGTCATCAGTGACGTCAGTGGAGTTGAATCAGAATCATCTGCTGTCACCGTTGATGATAAACTGTCCGGGTCAGAACATCTGACCCCTGCTGGACCACGGCCTCCTCTGCATCTTAGTCAGTACGTCTTCATTGTTAGTTACAGTTTTGATGACGTGAAAAGTTCTCTGGGTTCTGTGGTAGAACCCGGTCCACTTCACGACAACACGTCCCACCGATCTGTGGTGGATTGATCACGTCTTCTTAATCGGTGTTTCTGTACTTTTTGTTTTGTCAAAAGCGCTGCTTTTCCCTCAATGGCCGACAGAGGGCAGCGTGCTCGGTCTGCTCTCCGTCCGTGCTGGACTTCTGTGGACGCCGTGAAGCTGCAACATGAGTGGAATCACAGTGGGATCAGACCCGGAGACGCTGTCGTAGTGAAAAAAAAAATATTATTATTATTATTATTAAATGATAACAATAATAATACTAATAATAATTGACGGGTGTTATTATTGCTGATAAATAAATCCAGCTGATTCTAAAACTGAGTTAAAAACACTGTTTTAAAACAATACATTTATGGACAACTCCGTTCAAATGTCTCTTCTTCTTCGTGTTATTTTAAACTAAAAAATAATGTTCTTCGTGTTTTATTTTGCTGCTGAATAATCAGTATTTCTCTCTGTCTGTCTCTTCCTATGTTTAAAAACACAGCCAACACCTCTGTTTGTTCGGGTTTATTTTGTTGGGTTTTTTGGGTTTTGTTTTTTTCATGGGCTCTGACTCCTCACTCATCTCATCATCGTCGTCGATCCTCGGCAGAGAAACGAGTCTGATCGAAATCTGTTCACTCCTGAAATCCTGTCCTTTCTGCTCCGAGGCCGTGACTGAACTCGACGGTTTCTGTGATTGGATCATTTGTCAGACGATCAGGAGAAGAAGAAAACAAAAAACAAAAAAACATTTTCTTTCTAAAACTGCAGGATATAATAATCACCTCGTTAATTTTATTATTCTGCAGAAAACATCGAACAACCGAAAAAATCACGGGGTTTTTTTGTTTTGTTTTTTTTGTCTATTCCTGATTTTTTTCTTCTCAGTAATTTTTGTGTGGCTCGTTGTCCTCAGATGGACACGATGTCCTCCTCGGACAGGCCGCTGTTATCACCGCCAGGTGCGTCAGTTAAAACAGGAGAGCGGGAACAATACACAAAGACAGGGAGAGAGAGCCGTAGAGAGAGAGAGAGAGAGAGAGAGGGTCTCACACCTGAAGCCAATCACAGCTCAGTCTGACTAAAACACTCCAGTGACACCGACTCCAACCTGGGAGCAAATATCTGCTCATGACGATGGTGTTCAAGCCGTGGCCCGGGCCCCGCTACGTCACAGAGCGTCTTTAAATCTCACTGGCTGGAAATTCAGCATCAGAAAAAAAAAAAAAATTTATATTTTTTTTTTTCTTTGATTAGAAAATTATATATTTTTACTACAAAATGTCGATTTAATTTTATCAAATTAAATCGTCATTTAACGTATGAATATATTTGAAAAAATACTTCATGGAGTATTTTTATCTACGTCACACATATATGTGCGTTTGAATTGTTTTGTATTTTAAAGGAGCAGTAAAAAAAACTACAGTAATACTGTATCATAAAGTATTGTTGTTGTGGAATAACTATATAAATCTATATGTTTATATAGATTATGAATGATAATAATGATATGATGATGGACTGTGTTTTATTATTATTATTGTTATTATTGTTGTTATTATTGTGGGGTCATTCCAGTGCTGTGTAAAACTCTTATTTCCCTCTTGTCTTCTTCTCTGTGGACTGTGTGTGTGTGTGTGTGTGTGTGTGTGTGTGTTGTTATTGGACTGCTCTCTGCTCCAATAGCATCCCAACGGCAGTGAATGGAGAGTGAAGACGAAGTGTGGCCGAGCAGGAGTGGGAGGATCCACGGCTTCAATCTCGAGCTCAGACTTTCCAGCGACAGGAGCCTCAAACTGAGAGACGACTTCCACTGCACACACACACACTCACACACACACACACACACACCGACACCGACACCGACCGACCGACGCTCTCACTGGATTTCCTGTCAACATCGTCGCACTTTGACTCTGAACACTTCGTGAAGCCGTGAAGATTTTTTCCTCATTTTTCCCCGTGTCGAACAACAAGAAGGAGAAGGAGAAGAAGAAGGAGGAGGAAAACGTCCCTGTCGTCGCTCTTGACTGATAACAGGTGACACTTTACTCTCTCTCCCTCTGTCCCTCTGTCCTCCCTGTCCCCTCTGTGGCCCCCGGTCCCAGGTTCAGACTCCTTTTATTCCTCCGAGCATCAGAGAGTTTTTTTGTTCTTTCTGTTCTTTTTGTTCTTTTTGTTCTTTCACTTTGTCCCGTTGCTGCAGCCCGCGCGCGTGTGTGTGTGTGTGTCACTGAGAGTGTCGTGTACCTGTGTCCCCTGTCCCCCTGTCCACTGTCTCCTCACCGTCTTCCTCTCATGGACTCTGCAACAGGTCGGCTGTCAGTGCAGCGCCGCGCCGCGGGAGAAGAGTCCGAGACGAGCAACATGTTGGACGGCATCAAGATTGAAGATCACCCGCTGCGGTCGGGACAGGCCACGCTGGGAGTCCTCCTCGGTGGGTCCTCTTTTTATCTGAATTATTATTATTTTTTTACCTTTGATATTTAAGTGACGTCACTGAGGGACTTGAACCGGAGCCGCCGCCGCCGCCGCTGCCGCTGCTGCTGCCGGGCCGAGGCAGAGCTGCCGTGTGTGGAACAGGTTTCATGAATGAATGCGCTGCACGGAGGGGGAGATATAACACACACACACATATATAAATATATCTGTAAATATATCTGTAAATATATATATATGTGTGTGTGTGTAAATCCAGCCGCTCCTTCTACTAATTCTACTGATTCTAAATCATCATTTAATTCATTAAAATACAGACAATAATTTAATATTTATTTCCAACCCGAGACCCCGAGCTGTGCCACCACTAATATATATATAAATACATGTAGACATATATATATATATATATATATAAATTGTACAGCTCATCTCCACGGTCCGTGTCTGATCCACGGCCTCGGCTGGTGCCGTCTGTTGCCGTCTGTTGCCGCCTCCTGACGGGTCCGTGTGTGTGTGTGTCCACAGGGGCAGAGTGCCACCACCCGTCGGTGTGTGAGGGGTGTCAGCGGCCCATCTCCGACCGCTTCTTGATGAGAGTCAACGAGTCGTCGTGGCACGAGGAGTGTCTGCAGTGCACGGTGTGTCAGCAGCCTCTGAGCACCAGCTGCTACTACAGAGAGAGGAAACTTTACTGCAAACACGACTACCAACAGTAAGTCACCTCCGTCTCAACAGACCCACAGACCCCCCCCCCACA